TCCCTGATTGCTTATCTGTGTATGGAAGATATATAAGAAAAACTATATTGTGGGAATTCATCAGTGTACTAGAAACCAAAACAGTGACTGTTAGAATTTTTTCTTTCTGATTTTACGTTTGTACTCTAATCTCAGAAACGGCTAAACCGATTTCTGTGCAATTTTCACTGAAACTAATAGACAGATAGACTGACTCACTTTCGCGTTTAGGTATAATATTAGTATACCGGATGGGAACACAAACACTTTATTTAATTACTAGCTGTGCCCGACGTTTCATCCGCGTACAATTTATAACCTATATGTTATGATGATAGCTATATTACTGTAAAGTTTAATCAAAATCCGTTCAGTAGTTTTTGCCTAAAAGAGTAACAAATTTTCGCGTATATAATATTATTAAGACTATCTATTTTTATACTTCAATCTAAAGAAAGGCTTAGCAAAACAAATTTATATTTGCGTAACATAACTGTATACTAGTCTTAGTAAAATGGGTAAATAAATTTTATAATGAAAACGTTCACTTCATCCGTCTAGGCAATTCCGCGGCGGGGTTTTTCTTAACAATTCTAAGGTTTGTAATATTTCCAAGAATTGTCAAACAATTTATTTTACGAATTTATTTCTGTAGTCTTAATCGGAATGGTAAAAAAACTTCTGTCGTCGTGAACCTGTGAATAGAATAGCCATCGCCAGCAAAATTATTGTTTTCATTGTATTGTAGAAGATAAGATTAATAATAATATACGATGGGACTGGCTTTATCATATTCTGATAAAAGTCCCTAAATAAATCTAAAAATAAAAAAAAATAGAACAGAATATATTTTATTGACTCGTTGTGTCAAGCGCAACAATAATTACATAAAACGTACAAGGCATAATTTACAAACATTAAAAAACCAGAGTCAAAGTGGACCACAACTCAGCATAATGCTGGAAATATAGTTTCCAACGCCTGTAGTGGACCAATGAGTAAAGCATTTGACCCCGTTAGTACGCTATCCCTAAAACTTCACAGTATGTTAAAGTGATATAGAATAATATCCCTGGAGAAAAATCTTCAAAAGACCATCACCCCACCAGAGGAAGAGGGGGGGGGGGTTGTAGGATTCTTACCCAATAAAAAATCACACTGTGTACCTACGAGCCCCATTCACTCTACCTGTAGATGGTGTATGGCAACCCTCGTGTGTGTGTGTGTTAAGGCGATCTAATGTGTTAGGTTGTAGACTGATATAAATACCTACGCACATTTAATTTTGTAAATACATGCATAATATTCATAGAACATGCCCAGACGGATACAAATAATACACATGAATACAAATGTATGTACTGTGGGAGGAATGGAACACGCGATCATCAGAAGTAAGGCAGCGTATTAAACCACTAGACCACCGGGCCGTCAAAATAGATGAAATAGAGTTAGCCACGTAGACGAGTTTCTACGGACTACTTCTAGTATTATATAGTAGGAACTGGTCCCCACTATTTTTTATATAAATAACAATATCGACCTTAAAGAAAATAAATAAAACAAAAAAAATTACTAAGGCTATATTAGTTACATAACTTTGGAATCTTCATTATTTATTATTTTAATAAAACACTATCCCGATAATATTTTTTTAAAAGGGTAAAAAATATAGCGACTAACAACATTAAATTATTAAATTACAGCATCATTAGAATTTGCTTAATTATGATCAGTGTTAGGCTTAAGTATCAGTTTAGTTATATAACTTAACTCACCTTTTTTGACATCTACCATAATCCCTTGGGTTTATCTGCATATTTTATATCATCAATTCCATTACAATAATTACTGAATTTTTAGGTTAATTAGTTATTAAAGAACCTAAGGGAGGATAGCTATTGACAGTATGTGTAGGGTACCTGGCGTGAAGATAGGTTACTACCTATCTAAGGTAAGTTTTTAGTTACTTTTTAGTTCGTAATTTATATTTGCTTTTATTGCATGATCCTTAAGTATATTTGTTTCCCATGGTACAATATGCTCTACCAATATTACACAATTTAGTTGTTTGAAATATAAATATGAATATATCTGGTCTGGATTCTATAACACCGACCACATGTATATTTAAAATCTTCGTAATTATTATCTAAAGCATTTTCTACATTCAATATAAATAAATAAAGTAAAAAGTTCCATCTACAGAGCGTGACACACAAAATTTTCATAAAGAGCGCCATCTAACGAAGTCGACGGTAACCAAGAAAATCAAGTGGAGACAATATACTTTCATGACTCTGATATACTCTACTCTTTGTATCCTACTATTGAGCAATTCTTACATGATACCTTAACTAGTACTTTCATTCTACTTTCCATAGAGGTCTACAATATAATAAGTTTTAAATACTTTTTTTTTATTCTAATATTGCCATCAGTATGTTGGTTTTTTTAATTCTTATTGCGCTGAAATCTTTTTTCTTATAGAAAATCCTTGTTCAAACTATAAATATTTCCTCACACTTCACCTATTACATTAAATATAACACATATTGGGTACATTGATTGTTAAATAAAAAGTATAATCTATCACGTTTAAAATTACTGTTCTTGTTGCTAAGTAACTGTTATGTCTTGCGTGCAAATGTGATGAAATCAAGATTAAATTGTATTTTCTGCCGTATATATATATATATATATACTGATATCTCTATCATTCCAGCGACCAAGCTTACTTTGTAAGATATGTATTTATCACGATGGTTTCCAGGGGGAACCGCGTGGAGGTCAACCTGATATAGTACGTTGCTGGCATTGGGGACATCTTTCCACATTACTAACAATCCCCTTTCCCCCCGAGCTAAGGCATTTAAATTACAGAACATCTTAGTCCTCCAGAATCCCAACTCATTAGTGGTATCACGGGCACGGCATCACGTCATCACGTGATTTACAATAGATTAATGTCAGTAACTTATAAGTGGTATCACGAATATCACATCACGTCATCACGTGATAGACAATACATTAATATCAGTCGATATCTATTTTTAATATTATCTGTAACAAAAACAAAACTTTAGTTCAGGGATTATAGAATCAACAATCGTTAATCAGTTCGTACATTATCTATACATCTATAGATATAAATAAAATTGGAGTGTCTGTTTGTAATATTGAAATAACCGTTTTTTACTACATGCATATATGAATATAAATATGGTACCATACACCAAAATAACATTTTTGTCTGTTTGTTTGTTCCGGCTAATCTCTGAAATGGCTGGACCGATTTTGACTGCACTTTTTTGGCAGGTAGCTGATGTAATAGACTGCTTTTACTTTTAGAAAAAATCTTTTATTTTAGAAAAATAAAGTAAATTCCACGCGGACGAAGTCGCGGGAACAACTAGTCTAATAATGAATATACGCATACAATCATTATCTATACGCAAAGTCATTATGGGACCTATTATGTCATAGTACAAGGCCTTCCTCAAATATAACCTTGGTACATCGAGGAAACTCATATAACCAAGTTTTTATTAACAACATGTATACTTTGTTATAAATATAGCTCATTTAAAAAGATTTAGAGCTGAGTTTCTTGTCCGTTTTCTCAGCTCGATAGCACTCCGAACTGACAGTATAGTAGTAGTTGACATATCATAAGAGTCTATAATAGACCTACATGAATAAACATTTTATTTTATTTCAATATACATGTTAAAAAAGGTCCCCCACCACGTCTGTCTCTATCTTGAACAGTATATTTTCATACGGTTTTTACCTATCAAGGGAATGTTCCCTGAGGAAAGATTTGGTATAGTTCTTAATGAATTATACACCAGATTTTATAACACTGACTTTGCATGCATATTTATTTATTTATTTAACTTTATTATAAAATATGAAACAATTTTATAGACCAACAGTAAATGTAAAAATATATACAGAAAGAATTACCAATAAAACTATCGAGGTACGTTTTATAAAAAAAAACAATAAATATTGTGTAGATAGGAATTCTTGGAAAATAAACAACTGATATGTTTTACTCATAACATATAATTTAGGTAGAATTCGTTATGCATTATTTTATATTTGATTTAAATAATAAAATTATTTAATAACAATTTAAAACGTGTGTAAGTCTTATTTCTCAACAATGCAATATTTATATACATGTATACCTAATAGAAATTATATATAATATTTTTAGAGAGATAACCTCAAGTGCATGAGTATTTATTGCAATGTAACAATTGTAATTACTTATACTACTAAGAAAGCAATTATTATACAGATACATATGTACAACAATAGCTACAACCAATGCAAACTATGTTGCAGCTATTAAAAACCATCCACAGAACGTGACATCCATATTTTAAACTGGTAAGTATACATACATATGAGATAAGATATGATAAGTAATTATTTATATAAAAAAAAATCTATTAAAAAGAGCAACACACAAGTTTCTAGCTCATTCTTCTTGTGATGAATCTGCATTCCGAATGAGTGGTAGAATCAAAACATTACTATTCAAAAGTGCTTGTAATGAGTTTATTTGAATAAAGATTATTTCTATTCTATAAGATAATTGACATTGAAATACTATATAAAATTGGATTGCGTTGTAAATAATGATTTGTATAACTTTAACTGGCTTTATGTTTTTTTATTGTTTCTTTTTTTTATTTATGTAACGCAAATATTAATAAATGGAAAATAATGCACCCTAGGAAGGTACGGGACACCTGAGATACATTATAATTCTATACTAGTTCAGATGACACTATTATAGCTGTATTTTCACTGTTATGTAGACCTAAGATTTAAGATTGCGATAAAAAAATATTATTATTATTATTACTTATACATATATTATATATCAAATACGCAATAAACAAATATTATTATTATTACTTTTTTATACATATTGTTGCTAAATTATTATTATTATTATAATGTAATAAAAAAATTAAACTTAACCAAAATCATCATATATTTTTCTTTTTAATATTTTCTTTTTTCTTAGATTTTAGTATCCGTTTTAGCGAAATGACTAATAGTATAATAATTGCTAAAATAAGAGCTAATAAATCCAAATAGTATTTCTGATAGACGGGTACAAGGAAAGCTGGTGACCGAAGATGAGGAGCGCCTCCCGTGCGGACCACGTGCTGCACCCAGTGTACCAACTCCTTATCAGGCGACGTAGGTCGGTCGTGGTAAATAGCCGACAGCTCCTTCGCTCTTTCTTTATATCTGAAAATTTAAATTTAATATCATCAATTTAGAAGTTACACTAATTTGGTTTGCTTAAGTTAATTCAAATTTCTTTTTGATTTTCTTTTGTTGGATTCTTAAAATATCACATATTCTCATTTTGAGAATTATCTTGGACAAATGGACTAACCAACACAAAAATAATTTTTCAATTCCAACCAGTAGTTCCTGAGATTAGCACGTTCAAACAAACAAACTCTTCAGCTTTATATTAGTATATACATTAGATATTTTATAATTGAAAATATATTTTCACTTTATTGTTCCCTGTAAGTTATATTGAAAGCAAGCAATTAATTACATAAAATAATAAATACTAAAACTTACTTATTATCATTAAGAACATCTTTAATAGCAACCTTCAAATCATCCGCCATTGTGTAAGACAAGCTCACTCTTATAGCAAAACCTTTGTTTACAGCTCTTTCGATATTAACAAACTGATCGGCAAATACTGGAATTCCAATTACGGGTTTTCCAAAATGTACAGTCTCAGTTGTTGAAAGATGTCCACCGTGAGTTATGAACAGGATACAATTTGGATGCGCTGAAATTGTATTATAAAAAAATAAGTCATATATAGGTACACCCAATATATTATAATAATAATAATAATATATTGTAACTAAATTTTACCTGTTCATGAATACCAATTAAAATGTTATCGAGATGTAATTAGGTACAACTTAACGTATTCTAAAACACTATACTATACTAATAATTACACTCGTGAACTCAAATGTTTTTATCATGCAAGGCATCGAACCCGCGATCATCGGAATTAAGGCGGTGTGCTAAACCGCTAGATCACCAAGATCGATAAGTTATAATTAAGTTAAGGAATCTGCAAAACGGCCATTATTTTACGAATAGTATATAATTTCCTGATTTACCTAAAATGCCATGTTGTGGAGCCCATTGAACTATATGAACATTTTCCGGCAAATCAGAAACCACTTCTTCAAATTTCCACAGCACGGTTTGTTTCAATTCACCAAATACTTTCAATAAGCCCCTTTTTATTTCATCCGGAAGATCTTTACTTTTGAGATTTGAACCCATGCTAAAGTATATCAAACCACTTTTTGAATTGTCCAATAAGTTCTTCAGATCCTGTTAAATATATTGAGCAAGTATAATAAATAATAACTTTCACATCTAGTGTATTGGCATTTACCATATTTAGTATTATTACCAGACAAAGAATCTCTATACAATAGAAAGTGGTACACTTGAATATCTTACCAATATTATTTGTTGTTGTTGTTAAGCTTTGAAATTATAGCAATAACATTCTTGACCGCAGAACCATCCAGAATAGTAAAACATGTCAGATATGTCATAGTATACATATAACTAAAATAGACTGTTATGTATATATTACGTATAATGTATATATAAAAATATCCAGACCAATATAAACAGACGTACAAATGGAAATCTTTGTATTTTGCAAGGATCAAACCCACGCCACCACTATCGGAACTTGAGGTAGTGTGTGAAACTGTTACGCTAAATTCTAGAAAAATCTAATTTCTTACAGGAGTAATAAAATAGAAGATTTTTTAAATATTTTTTTTTACAAATATTCTTAGTATTTTAAAGTGTTGGTGTCACAGTTTAATTCTGAGACCGATGATAATGGGTATATCAGTCGAAGTACATCAGAAAGGGATTTTGACAGGGGGAGAGGAGGTGGGCCCTCAAATAATGACTGTGGTGGGTACCGGAAGGATTTTATATATATTGTGTATGTAATCATTCATCTTTATATAGTATACAGTATTTATTATATAGAGATATCATAATATTATTTAGAGGAAGACTGTAAACATTCGTCTGCGTGGGCACCTCAGTGTTAGCTGTTTCATTCGCCAAGCATGATATGTTTCGCTTATAGGGTGCAGATTAGGCTATCACATAACTGAATAAGAGGCATGACATCTTAGAGTGGTGATACATGATAATGTGATAGCCCTAGTGGTGTTCATGTATATTGGCAATGGTTACTATCTATCATTAGGTAGGCCGGTAGAATATTCAGCCTATAGCCTATATTCCTAATTCTACATGTTCTGTAATGTTACTATATATTGCAATACTTACTTCTGGCAATGGTTTCACATTAGAATCTATATGATATCCTGCAATAGGTATATAATTTTGTGGTAATCTAGTTGCTTGTCCTAACGATACGTGAGAATTTCCCAAAATTAAGGATATATTGCCATTGACGTCATAAAATGAAGGAATGTCTTTGTTTCTCATAGTGAAGTAGGGTCCAATAAAACTTTCGAAATCTTCTTTACAAGCAACATCTGCATAACTAAAACATATATTATTAGTAACAATTACTTATTCTAGTCGACAGTATCCTTTTCTTTACGCTATACTAGTTTCAATTCAATAACTTTAAAATGTATAGTGACTAACAAACTTATTTTATTCAATACATACAAAAGATATCGCAAGACTGATCAAGTCCTGCTTATATACTTGATATTATGTATTGTCTTAGAGACAATAAACATGTCTATTTTGTCCAATTCATTAATTTCATTATTACCACATTGATAAATACATTCAACAATATTATACATACTTTTTTCTCATTTTATTACATCTCATTCAACTCTTTAATGTCGTACTATATAACATAATTTGTACATATATCAGAAGGCGTCACTTAAATTAAATACTTACAAAGTTTTGAATGCCAAGGTTCTCAACTGAGTATAAAGTTCACTAACTCGCTGCTTGAAACCATATGGTGGTATGTTACTTGACATAATGTCTGGTACATAAACTGGATTTGTATTTTCATCAATTAAACTAAGTATTAATGAATGAGGTTCGATAGTAGAAACCCAGATAAAAGGGCATTCGTATAATGAAGATAATCTGAAATAGTTGAAATTAAATTATTTTTAATAAAGATGACACTTATTGCATAAGTAATAAAACATAAAGTTAATGCTATCAATAATAATAATGATATCAATAGCAGGCATAAATCTAGAAATCCAACACGATTATTGTTGCCGCCATGTAGAAGTACACTTTATGAAAAAAATTGTTACGTAACGATGGCAAAAATATACAATAATATACCAAAATTTAAAGAACTGCCTATGAAGCCCTTTAAGTTAGCATTTAAGAAATGGTTAATAGATAAATGCTTTTACAATATGCAGAAGTATTTTCAACGATGATCGACTACTACAACATATCCTCAGCGCTCAACTTCAATCACGGATTATTTATTTCCTATAAATGACATATATGTTAGTATTATTAAATAGACTTCAGAAATAGTTGCCTAGTTTATTTGCCACTTGGCTGCAGATCATGACAACCTAGTTATTAAAAACCTTGACGATCTTCTCGACTTAATACAATGTTAAAGTTCATTATTTTATGATGTTGCGGAAAATCATATATAGTGTATTTTATTAGGTCGGTTGATAATAATAAAACATTATAATACCAATTTTATACTGAATTATAATAGACTTCCGTATTCGATTAATCATCTATTTTCTAACAACAAAACATCGAGTATCATTATTTATTAAATAAATAAAGCTAATGTATCTAAATTTTTATAATAAATATAACATCGCCTCACAATATCTATTCAATAACAATTCCTCAACAATATCAATTCTCAAAAACAATTTTAGCAATACCTAGTAAATTACATGAGAGTTTATTACTCACTCACTCACTCACCCAGAATAAGTATCATAAAACATCCATTCGGCGACAACTGCATCAAACCTCTGGTTGGTGTCACTTAATAATTTAACAACGTTAACATTCGTAATAGTATTTTCAAATAATTTGGTGAATAATTTAAACTTTTTTACTGGATCATTGAACACCATTTTGTTGTTCAATATTAGTGTAATATTTGGTATATTTCCTGGAATTAGAAAAACATTAATTATTATATTGAAAAGCCACTTACAATGGCTTAAGCTTATTTACCAATTCATTTATACATAAAAATGTCACGCATTTTCATGCGTGCAAAAAATAAACTAATTAAAAACACATATTAAATGTCAACTAACCTGCAAACAATTCAAAATTCTCACTAACATCTATCTGTACCAAATTCTTTCGGGGATTCTTGGTTGGAAATGGTGTAATATACGTAACCTGAAAACAATAAATATATATTCTTGTCGTCTAAGAAATTTACATATTCACGCATACTAAGAAATGTATATTCTCACTAATATAGATACTATACAAATAATGAATATTTACTTCATGTTCAGCATCCAGTAGATGTCTAACCACATTATCACCAAGAATACTATGGCTCTTGGCAGGAAATGGAAATACTACTAATAATTTGTATGCATTGCAGAAGTTTATTGCTACTGTTACAAAGAATAACCATAGAACCAACTTGTCCATTATCTGGAAAAAAATACACTTTAAGGTAAATTAAAGTAGATTATACTACAATATACTCATAATAAATATAGTATTTATATACAAAATTTAATTAATATCCGAGTATAATAAAAACGCCATTACATATAACACCATTAGAATAGAACAGAATAGAATAGAAAATCATTTATTCAAATAAACTTAATTTAATCACTTCTGAATAGTCAACAATTTTTTTTTAAATCTACCGCTCATTCGGAAAGCTGTCTTATCACAAGAAACTTGTGTGTTGCTCTTTTAAACAATCCTTGTAAGTTCACATTTTACAAGTTGAAACGTGTGAATAGAATAGAAAAACTACCAATTCACAGCACTAATTTATTTAGGCTCAAATATAAAAACAATACAATAAGATTAAATCAGTCGTAGTGATAACAGCAGACTAGTCCCTACAAGCAGCACTCATTCACGAGTATGATGGATGAGCCAGCCATCACTGCGCTCGACTATTATTTTCAAATCGCAATAATAATTTTGTTTATAAGACAAATTTCAAACTCCAAATTCAATACGAATTTGGAATACGAAAACTACGAATTCCAAATTCAAAATATAAAAGACGTTTTATGTCTCGTTCAGCTGTTTAATTGTGAAAAGGTAACAGATCTATCTGACAGTGACATCTATCAGACTCATTGTCGCATGTATATCTAGTATTAATATAGATTGAAATATAGGAACCACGTGGATAATTTCAGACTACATCCCAAATAACTAATGTTAGTTATTATATAAAAATGTCCAAAAAATAAAAAAAATGTTATCACTTAGGGGTATGAAAAATAGATAGTTAGTAGCTGATTCTCAGACCCAGTAGGTATATGCTTATAAAATTTCAAAAAATCGGTCAAGCCGTTTCGGAGGTGTCTTGTAACTAACATTGTGATAGGAGAATTTTATATATGGGTATATAGGTATGACATATAGAAAATGTTCTAAAAATATAAATTAAAAAAATAAAGACTTTAACAACAAGCATTATGGAATTCACTTACCCCAAAAGATATTGATAATTATAATATAATAAAAATATTTACATAATTAAAATACCACTAATTATAGCCACACAATTTCCAACCAAAATATACCTATATTTTTTTTAATATTAACAATTTTCACTTAATGTTTTTATAACTTATACAAACCCTAAATATTATGTATCAGTGTTATTTAAATTGCTTGATAACAACGCAACCACATAGAGACAGGTTCAGTCACAAACTCGTTCATAATCTTGTATGTTTAAACGGTTATCATCAGAAAACAAAATGGCTGTCTAACATCAGCTGTTTATCGAATATATATCATCCAAACAGTTTTTGTCACGTATATAGATACGTATCCTGATTCTGTGATATGTAAAGACGACTGAGTTTTCTGAACTACTGTTATCAAATGCTGATAGATTGGCAGACAAACACAATGTTTGTTAATCTGTATCTCAGAGAACGTCATGATAAACAATTATTTTATGCTAGTATAGTTAGAATTTAATCTACTATAGTTTTCGTTCGGCTGCAATATCACTAATTACTCAATAAACGATTACTATGGCAATAGTTGTTTACTATATTATTGTTAAACACATAATATTAACAAACTGGTTTTAAAAAAAGTGAGAAGACTTGTAAGAAAATTCTGTTAATTTTGTTGACAATATTTAGTTTTAGTAAACATTGCATCGAAATAGTCAGTCCAGTCATTTTATTATTGCAAGACATTAAAACAAAATTATTATATAAATAATTTATTTTTCTAAAAACTTATTAAAAGCATTTTTTTTATTCTTATATACTTAGAACATATTTAATTTAAATTTAAAAAAATATGTGGATCAAAATAATTCAGTTCTTCTTTTTCAAATTCTGCTTCTTGTTATACATTAAGACCCGCAATGATAATTTAAATGCAACTACTAATACTAAAATGATTGCTGCAATAACTGCCAACAGATCTAAATAGTATTTCTGATAGCACGGAACATTGAGCGCAGGAGATCTCAAATGCGGGGCGCCTCCCGTCCGCACCACGTGCTCTACCCAGTGCACCAACTCCTCACTCGATGGGACGGGCCGGTCGTGATAAATTTCCGAGAGCTCCTTCACCTTATTTTTGTATCTGAAAAAAAAATACAACCAATGATGCTATGTCTAAGCCTTACACATCTATATTATATATAGTAGAAATCTAACAAATTAATAAAAGACATCACGAATGTAGTACGGAAGAAAACTAACCCAAACAGAACAGAATAAATTAATTCTATTCTGTTTGGGTTAGTTTTCTTTATATATTAAAATTGAACAGAAGATAATATAATGATATTTATAACTGTTATTACATATCTCTGCCTAATTTCAGCATTGATACTATAAAAAAAATAACATTTGACAATAACACCTTAATGATGATGATTGATAATAAATATGTATAATAATAATTAATCAAAGTCCACTGTTTCTTGAAATTATTTACGCCATAGGCATAGATTATTGACATAAATCTGATAATTTAATATGTTTTTCAATGTTTACATTGAAGGACATTAATAATTAAAGTATAAACTAAATAATTTTAACCACTTACTTAGGATTACTGATAGCTTCGTCTATAGCTGCTTTGAATTTATCCAACATTGTGTAAGATAAAGGCACTTTTATAGCAAATCCTCTACTCACAGCCCTTTCAATATTAACGAATTGATCACCAAACACTGGTATTCCAATAATTGGTTTTCCAAAATGAACAGTTTCGGTTGTGGACAGCAGTCCACCGTGTGTGATGAAAAGTATACAATTTGGATGTGCTAAAATGATACAATATAAAGAAATTTCACACAAAAATATGTAAATAAAAACGTCTATAATTTGTGAATTATAAAATAATTACCTAATATACTATGTTGTGGAGCCCATTGAACTATATGTACATTTTTGGGCAAATTTGGAATTGCTTCTTCAAATTTCCATAGCACTGTTTGTTTCAGGTCACGGAAAATTTTTAGGAATCCCTGTTTTAAGTTGTCCGGGAGATCTTTGCTTTTCAAGTTTGATCCCATGCTGAAGTAAATTAAGCCATTCTTTGCATTGTCCAATAGTTTTTTCAAGTCCTGTTAAATTATTTATCGACATTTGTTAAAATATGTATAATCATGTTAAATCTAACTACTTTAACTGCATGCATGATATTCACTTTTAAATATATATAAAATCAAAATTAAGGCTTTACTGACATTTTTGTATACTTACTTCTGGTAATGGTGCTACTTTAGGATTAATATGGTATCCTGCGATAGGCTTGTAGTTTTGAGGTAATCTGATTGATTGTCCTAAAGATACATGAGAATTACCCAAAACCAAAGATGCATTATGGCTAACTTCAAGGAATGAAGGAATAGGTTTTCCTCTCTGAATTAGGTATGGCCAAATCAATCTTCTGACTTCCTCTTCAATGACACCATTCCAATAACTAAAAAATGGCGTACGGAATAATCACCTTCTTGCGCTTTTATATTAACTAAAATTGGCTCCATTTCCCTTTGATAAATTTTAGTTACATAATGTTAATAAAATTAACGAGATAGAGGTCTATCTACTCGTCTAGATATTCTATTTAAATTAATAAACATAAATTGTAATTTGTATACTTACAAAGTTTTAAACGCTGAGCTTACAAGCTGCAGGAGAAGTCCGCTTACTCGTTCTTTGAAATTGAATGGTGGTATACTACTTGACAGACGGTCTGGCACGTAGGCTGGATTAGTACTTTCATCAATTAAACTAAGTATAACCCAATGTGGATCGATAGTGGAAAACCAGATGAGAGGACAGTCAAATATTGTAGCTATCCTGAAACAATGAAGTCAAAGATTCTAATATTTTGTGGTTCTTACAACGATATCTAGTTTTAATGATAATGACGATATGTGAGTCGGTTTTTAAGTTTATTCCAGTAGTAGTGATGACGGTTTAAGTAGAAAAAGACTAAGCGCTGTTTTAGTTAGGTAGGCAGATTTGTCCGCTGGTAATAATTGTTTACATCTAACGCCATCGCTATAGACCCGTGACCAACACGTTTATAACAGCGTTGAAATATCGGGAGTTCTTAAATAATATTACCATGAATATACCATCTCGTTAATACATATGATGCATGCAAATATATTTTTACTCTTCCAATTAATTCAAAATTCTACTTCTGTCGTCGTAGTAGTAAGAATCTTGAAGATTACGAGGATCTCTCGAGGAGCTCCTTTAGTCTAAAAAACATAAAGCACAAATGTATACCCTGAGTAAGCGTCATTGTACATCCATTCAGCTATCACTGCATCAAATTTCTGATTAGTGTCGCCGAGCACTTTTGCAACATTTGGATTCTCGACGGTTTTCGCGAACAAATCCTTTGTGAATTGAAACATCAACAGAGGATTATCGATGTTTACTTCTTCATTCAGTAGCGCCTTTACATTTAGGAGGTCCTCTGAAAATTAAAATATTATTATAATAATAATTAGTAGTATCCGCATGATAGTGCGCGTGTAAATGCGATCTATTATTTTAGCAGCAAATGCAATATATAAAATTCTCGACTGATACCTATGAAATTCTCAGTGTAAGTTCAGTAGGTTTTAGAATAAGACGAAAACCAATTTACATATCCCTAAGTGATATAGGTGGTCCAAATTTTTATTTTTTGGACAATATTTTTTATGTTATTTTTTAAGGATTTGGCATAAAAAATAAATACAGTAAATTTTTATCCTTTTAGCATTATGCCCTATAGCGATATTACTACTCTAATAATTTGCTTCTGTTTTGATTTCTGTCAATAACTGATTAATTTACAATATATGGCAAAACAATGTTTGCCGAGTCAGCTAGTTATTTAATAAAATTGTAGGTAATTAGTTTACTCCTTTGTATTTATGAGTACCTCAGCTTTCTTTAGCCTTTATGTTAACCCATATTTAACAAGTATGCATTGATAATTACACACCAATTACTTTAGCCGTTTCTATGTGAAAGGGTAACATACAAACAGCCAGTTTTCGCTTCTCCACTACTTTACGTTTTTATTATATGTAAAGAAAATGTATAAATTGTTTATTCAAACATAGGATACTTTTTATTCATTCTATGAAAGCCATACAACTTTTTAATAAGAATAATACCTTCATCACTGTTATACGAGATGGGATAATCAGACGTATTGTCAACTCGACATTATGTCCTAGTGGATGTAACACTTTATATATTCAACTATATTTAAATCCAACGTAATAGCAGTCGATTACTGCCAGCTCTTGGATTAATTTGGTTCGTTATTTATATTGATAGTTCTATCACCACATCGCCAAAAATATGAATTGACTGTCAATCGTTTTTAGTGCCGACCATATTTGAACTAAGGTCGAAGTAGAAGTAATAAATCATTGGACTACGATGCCCTTAGTAGTTACCCAATTTTAAGTTTTTCCATGAATTCTTCAGTGTCATAAGCACAAACTCTGCCTAATTCGTCGAAGTAAATTTCTTTATTTATATAAATACATATCTTACAGTGTGTAATGTAGGTTGAAATAAAAATGGTGAGATTAGATTGTTCATCAACTCACCCGGCATTAGATCAAAATTGGAACTAACATCTAACTGTTGTAGATTTGGATGTGGGTTCTTGACTGGAAACAGCGTGACGAATGTAACCTGAAAGAAAATAAGTCATATTAAAAATATCTGCAAGAAATTGTGTCAAGAAATGTTGATAATGGAATGGTGCATCCGGCTGGCTGAGCACCAGTAAAGGATGATAGGATGAGGATGAAGTCAGGTCAGAAAGTTCTTTAGATGATTTTGAAGATGGTCTTATAGGCGAGACCACTTTACGTCGACCTGACATTGTACGTTGCCAGCTATGGAGTCGGTACTCCCAATTAATGAAGATTACAAATTTCCAACAAAATATTTTTTCGCTGCAAATATTCATCTCTTCGATCCTATCCTATAATTATAACGTAGTCTAGAATCTACGGGGCCATTAAAATTAAAATATTTAAAGAAATGTTTTGGTCGCCTGAGTAGTGACCTACATATATTTGGCAGCAAACCGTTTTTGCAATCTGTGAGATCATAGATGCGATTTTATTTTTTTACCTGTTAAATATTTCCGATGATCGAATAGGACTTTTATAATATCTCAAAACAATCAACACAGCGCCACACAGAGCTTGTGTTATGGGTAGAGCTACATAGATAACTGATATAAATACTTAAATAGTTTTTTATAAAATTATATACTTACATAGAAAACTTTCTATATTTTCATTCTCCTACCTCATGTCCAGCTTGAAGTAAATGGTCGACCACATTACTGCCGAGAATATTATGACTTTTTCCAGGTATTGGGAAAATGACTAAGAATCTATATGCTTCACTCAAATTTGAAAACACTGCAAGAGCGAGAATTAACCCTAACCACCGGGCCATTATCTGAAAATAAAACGGTCTATAATTACTTTTATTAAATAATAATACTAATTATAATCCTGAGCTATTCACACAATGCCATCTATTTCTAAGTTAAGCGAAATAAATGGATTCTAAAGAAAATAGAAATAAAATATATCTAGATATACATACATAAATAGTTTTTCAAACCAATACAAACAATTATAATAATGAATACAAATGTTTATATTATGCGAGGAATCGAAACCGAGTTCGCTACAATACCAAGGCTGTTAAATATATTTCTAGGGTTAAATATATTCTGGTCGTGAAGGCGAATTGCCATAATGACGTTTTCGTATACACATTTCAGCGCATCAATATATAGTCAATTTGGCACAGCAGGATAGACTGTAGCACCGCCCACATCTCGATAGAATCAACGGCTTTTTCATAGTCCACAAACGCCAAGCAAAGTGTCAGGTTGTACTCTTCGGTCTTCTGAATTACTTGCCTCAGCATATGAATGTGGTCTATGGTATTGAAACCTTTTCAGAACCCGGCTTGTTCGGGAGGCTGGAAGTCGTCAAACCTGAGCGCGGTACAATTCATGATGACTCTCCAAAACAGGTTATAAATATGGCCAGCAGTATTACGGGCCTGAAATTATTCAGAAGCGATATGTCTTCTTTAAGAACATAACCACCACACCCCTGTGCCAGTTTTTGGACGGAAGAAGGATGATGACGGAGTTGGATAGGTTCTGAATGATTCGTAGAACAGGTCTACCTCCAACAATTGTAAGTAGCTAATGACGTGGTCTGTTCTTGATATATTTCTACTTAAATATATTCTGGCGGCGTGATGGGCAGGGTCATTGGGCTCCCTAAAATATGGTCGACGTTTTCGTCATCACCATCACTATGGCAGCTCATCCGTATATAGTGAACGGGGCACAGTTCACGGATAGACTGTAGGGACTGATCTGTTCTCATCACACTTGATTTTCTCTTATTTAGTTATTTAACCAGTTGGTTGTATATTTAATATTTTTTATATTTGAGTATTTAATTGAATTAGTTGCAAATTGGTAGTTTGTATTCACACACTTAAACTTAAAAATGTAAAGTAATAATAAAATTATTTAAAAGAGCAACACGCAAGTTTCTCTCTCGTACTTCTTGTGATGAGATAGCTTTCCGAATGAGCGGTAGTTTAAAAAAAAATGTGATGACTATTCAATGTAAGTTTATTTGAATAAATGATTTTCTATTCTATTCTATTCTATAATCCTGCCGTCATCTGTTGTAAGTCGCGTCAGTTAGCTCTGTCCAGCAGCCAATAGTCTCATTTACACAATTAGTATTAATTTAGCCTTAACCACGAGTCAAGGATTTAGAGATCTGCCTGCTAAATTGCCGATACTACGTCGTTTCGAGACTGCAGGACTACGAGTATATTCGCCTTTCATCCATTAATTTGAGGGAGAGTTTGATATTTTTCTAGTTCTTTTTACGTAGCGGGTTTGATTTTTTTAGCTGCTTATGAACGTCAACTTTTTGTATTCATATTTGTTCAGCGGTCACTCAAGTACTTACCTCATCAACACCCATGAAATTGATAAGATCAGTTTACAATATCTTATATATAAAATTCTCGTGTCACAGTTATCGTTCCGTTCCTCCGGAATATTTTCTCATGAAATAGCGTATTGAATTTGGTCTGAGAATCGGTCTTTTTTCATCCATAAATGTTAACAGGTAGTCCGATTTTTTTTTTAACTCAAAACGCCGATAGTAGTTATCGTTTATAAAAACACAAAAATATAGTTAACAAAACAATTAAAAACAATTTAACTTTGTCATGATCAATTGATTACGTGGTCTTCCTAGTGATCTTGAAAAAATCATTTTTTTTTTCATAAAATGTCTAGAATGTGTAAAGCGATTTTAGATGGGCAGTCGTTTTAAAAATACAGCAGGTAAAATATGGTCGCGCGCAGTGAGTTGGCAGTTAGATCCGTCATATTCGTGAACGTCGGCTTTATACCTGGCCTTTTTATTAATATATTTGTTTCATCACACTTGATTTTCTCTTATTTAGTTATTTAACCAGTTGGTTGAATATTTAATATTTTTTCTATTTGAGTATTTAATTGAATTAGTTGCAAATTGGTAGTTTGTATTCACACACTTAAACTTAAAAATGTAAAGTAACAATAAAATTATTTAAAAGAGCAACACGCAAGTTTCTTGCACGTTCTTGTGATGAGATAGCTTTCCGAATGAGCGGTAGTTTAAAAAAAAATGTGATGACTATTCAATGTAAGTTTATTTGAATAAATGATTTTCTATTCTATTCAAACCGGTTTTCGATAATCGAAAGACGTCATCTGTTGTTTAAGTCGACACAAAACAATAACGAATCTTTGAATCTTTGAGCAGCCAATAGTCTCATTTACACAATTAGTATTAATTTAGCCTTAACCACGAGTCAAGGATTTAGAGATCTGCCTGCTAAATTGCCGATACTACGTCGTTTCGAGACTGCAGGACTACGAGTATATTCGCCTTTCATCCATTAATTTGAGGGAGAGTTTGATATTTTTCTAGTTCTTTTTACGTAGCGGGTTTTGATTTTTTTAGCTACTTATGAACGTCATCTTTTTGTATTTATATTTGTTCCCTTAATCACCAAGTACTTACCTACATAAACACTAATGAAATTGATAAGATCAGAAAAATGTACAATATCTTATATATAAAATTTTCAAAACTTCAATTTTTTTATAGCAAAAAACAAAAAAAAAATACGAATTTACAACTTTTATTTCAATTCTCATCAAACTTTTTTTTAGCGTATTTGAGTAGGTCTGAGAATCGGCCAACATCTATTTTTCATCCACCTAAATGTTAAGGGTAGTCCACCCCTAATTTTTTTTTTATTTTAACTCAAAACGACCTTTGCCGGGACAGCTAGTCAGAATATAAAAACACAAAAATATTGTTAACATAACAATTAAAAACAATTTAACTTTGTCATGATCAATTGATTAAGAAACAAGTTTACTAAGCATTCAATTTATATTTCCGCATTAAATTACAATGTTACAAAATGTTTGCCTTACTTTGTAATATTTTTTCTGTGGATCTAATTCTACTTATGTACAAAAACGCTTCATACTTTTAAACAGTTCACAATTAACAAGCCTTTAATTCATCACATCAATAAAGCCCTCTAATATAATTATGTAAAGTCTGTTTGTTAGAATAAATTCACAATTCAAACTGACTATAAATCTCTACGAAGCATTAAATATAAGTGAAGTTCTTCCGTATTATTGTTTTGTAGTTTTATTTTATCATTAGTTGTAGTATTAGTTGCGTCATTTGTGTATCAGCGTGTCAATTGACTTACCACACTATAGTTTGTTTTATAAACAGTCCAAAAATACATTTAATTAGTTCATGTCAGCTGACAACAAATTCGAATCAGCTGATAGCTTTAAAAATAACCTTTAAATACAACCTTTCGTCTCCCCTTTCAACCCCTTACAAGCCTTTCGTTAAATATATTATACTATGTTCTTTCTCAAGGTTTTGGTACCAAATTTCATTTAAATCGTCTTAGTAGTTTTGACATGACAGCGCGACAGACAGAGGTACTTTCGCATTTATAATATTAATAAAGTATAATGTACACAATTGAGCCATGTTGTTCTAACATAAAAATTTGATGTATTATGGTCGAATCTCAAACAGTTTTAAATACTAGTATAATTAATCAGGTCTTAACAGGAATAATTTTGAGGTAAATAAGTACTTACTTATCTCGGACTGGTTTCCACTAGCCGTTACGATTTAACTGAAGTACAGCGATGTCAATGTCGATAATGTAGTGCTTACTTATTTATTTACTTATATTTCTTGGTATATAAGTTATTATTGACAAAGTATCGGCTCATTAGCCACAGCTCCACGTTTTTACTCCGCGGTGTCTGCGCGGGGAATATACGTGATGTATATATATCTCCCCTCTTGCGCATCGCGGCCCGTGTACGCTCGGCGCGAGACGATGGCGACAAGTTAATGAACCGCTAATGTTACAGATTCACTACTAGGTAGGTTTTAACAGTTTGTTTAACTACCGTCACTGGATGGGCCAACAAAACATAGCGACAGGCACACAAAGCTGACGGTATCCTTGCACCTTACTTAGTAAACGATGTTTTTTTTCTGGACGATAAGGGAATGAAGCACCCACCTGTGCTTACAGTTTACGCTGACAGGGAATCAGAGGAGGGTGATAATATGAGCATAAAATCAGGTCAGCTAGTTCATCATGGCATATTGACCACGATAGTATCCAGGAGGAACCGCCAACCAGACATGGTACATTGCTAGCAATGGATTTATTAGTTCACTTTACTAACAATCCTTACTTCGCCCCCAAATAATCGATAAATCATGCGTATTATTTTAAAGTTTAAAAATAATTGTATTATCTTGCCTCTATATCAATTAATCAAGCGAAATATTCATGTAGGTCTACTGCAGACTTTTATAGCATGTATGTACATCAATCTGCTATCAGTTCGGTGCTTTCGAACTGAGAAAAACTGACAAGAAACTCAGCTTTCTTTTTAAATAAAATTGTACATGTTTACAATAATATAAATTGAAATTTGGGGTAATAGAGTGACCACTAGCATATGGTAATTTTGTCAAAGCAAATTAAAATTTTGTCAAAAGCCAAAATAGCCTAATCAGTATTCGTAACCCAAACAGACCAGTCTATATCTATATAGATATCTTAAACATTTCTACGCGTTCTCAGTAACATTTGTTAAAATAATAATCCAGTAACGATGTCTCAATTAATTCATATAAACAGCAACACCCGCATGTAATAATTTTAAGAGCATCTCAGATAATTAAAATTGTAATGTGAGTGTTATTGGGCGTAATAGTTGGATATTTGTGTTGTTGTGATAACAGAGAATCTTGTATTCTTCCATCTACTCAAAGAAGACCAGGACCAGGTCAAGGTAAGATGATAATAGTTTACTTCCCCTTTTGAAAAATAGAAAATTCTATTGAAATTATTAATACAATTGTTGATTTAATAATTTGGTAAGCACAATACCCTTGCACAATATGGACAATTCGTTATTCGCCGCCATCTAACAAGGAAACAACCACCGCATGCATCAATTTTAATTATTAAATATTATAACAAACTGTATTTGTGTCGCAAGTTCTTCAAAACGTCCACGCAGATCAATGTGCAATTTGGGTGAGTCAAATATCTATATATATAAATAAAATTGGAGTGTCTGTTTTTAATATTGAAATAACCGTTTTTTACTACATGTATGTGAATATAAATACGGTACATACACCAAAATAACACTTTTTTATATTTTTGTCTGTCTGTCTGTTTGTTCTGGCTAATCTTTGAAATGACTGGACCGATTTTGACGGGACTTCTTTTGGTAGGTAGCTGATATAATAAGGAGTAACTTAAGCTACTTTTATTTTAGAAAAATAAAGTAGAATTCTACGCGGACGAAGTCGTGGGAACAGCTAGTCTTACATAAATTAGTTATTTGTGATTTCGTTTCTTTTGAAATCATATTGTAAAATCGCATTACTTGTGTTACGTTCACCATGAAGTCTACAACTGACTATATTTAGTTTTAGTAAACATTGTATCGTTATAGCATGTTCATTAATTTTAATATTTTTGCAATTAATAAACATGATATTATATTAAAACAAAATTATTATATAAATAATTTATTTTTCTAAAAGCTTATTAAAAACATATCTTTTTTGCTCTTATATACATAGTACATATTTAAAATAATTCAGTTCTTCTTCTTTTTCAAATTCTGCTTCTTGTTACACCTTAAGACCCGTAATGATAATTTTAGTGCAACTACTAATACTAAAATGATTGCTGCAATAACTGCCAACAGATCTAGATAGTATTTCTGATAGCATGGAACGTTGAGCGCCGGAGATCTTAAATGCGGCGCGCCTCCCGTCCGCACCACGTGCTCTACCCAGTGCACCAACTCCTTACTCGGTGGGACGGGCCGGTCGTGATAAATTTCCGAGAGCTCCTTCACTTTATTTTTGTATCTGAAAAAAAAACACAGTCATTGATGCTATCTCTCAGCTTTATACATCTATATTATATGTAGATAGCCAATAAATTAATAAAGGATGTGACAAATGTTGTACGAAAGAAAATTAAACCCAACAAAACAGAATTAATTCACACATATTAAAATTGAATAGAAGAGAATATAATTATGTTTGTAATTGTTATTACATATCTCTACCTAAATTAATAACTATAAAAACAATGAACAACAACATCTTATTGATGATGATTGATGATAAATATAATTAATCAAAGTCCGCTGATTATTGAAATTATTTATGCTATAGGTATAGATTACAGACTTAAATCTGATAATCTGATACCTTATGTAGTATGTGGTATACGAGTCTAGGCTAATCGTCTGGGTCGCGTTTCGGCTGTTAGTTGTAAAATATGGACTGATACGATATTTTTATGCAATGCTATATTAAAGTCATATCTGTCGCTATGATGATGGTGCAGATATTATTAATGATATACAGATAAATATTAAAGTAAATGATACTTATTTATCTATCGCCTTAAGTAATGTACCACCATTTATCAAAACAATTAATAAAGTAGTCAGAATCCTTGGACATGAAATATAGTAGCATTTCTTAGTTGGTCATCGATATTAATATCATTGTAACAAAAGTGATTGCACTGCTCAGTATAACTTGTACTTAAACTAGGGATAGACTTCGTAGATAATAGATATGAAATTATTTTAACCACTTACTTAGGATTACTGATAGCTTCGTCTATAGCTGCTTTGAATTCATCCAACATTGTGTAAGATAAAGGCACTTTTATAGCAAATCCTCTACTCACAGCCCTTTCAATATTAACGAATTGATCACCAAACACTGGTATTCCAATAATTGGTTTTCCAAAGTGAACAGTTTCGGTTGTGGACAAGAGTCCACCGTGTGTGATGAAAAGTATGCAATTTGGATGTGCTGAAACGATGTAATAAATGGAAGTTTCATACAAATGTATATAGGTAAATAAAAACGTCTGTTATTTGTGAGTTATGAAATAATTACCCAATATACTATGTTGCGGAGCCCATTGTACTATATGAACATTTTTGGGCAGGTTTGGAATTGCTTCTTCAAATTTCCATAGCACTGTTTGTTTTAGGTCACGGAAAATTTTTAGGATTCCCTGTTTTAGGTCATCCGGTAGATCTTTGCTTTTCAAGTTTGATCCCATGCTGAAGTAAATTAAGCCATTCTTTGCATTGTCTAATAGTTTTTTTAAATCCTGTTGAATTAATCAATGACATATTTTTAACATACATATAATCATGTTGAATCCAGTTACGTGATTTTTTTAAAACTGAACATGCATGTATATGTTCAGTTTTAAAAAAATCAAAATTAAAATAATATCGTATTTGCCCACATTTTGTATACTTACTTCTGGTAATGGTGCTACTTTAGGATTAATATGGTAACCTGCGATAGGTTTGTAGTTTTGAGGTAATCTGATTGATTGTCCTAAAGACACATGAGAATTACCCAAAACCAAAGATGCATTGTGGCTGACTTCAAGGAATGGAGGAATAGGTTTTCCCCTCTGAACTAAGTATGGCCCAATCAATCTTCTAACTTCCCCTTCAACAACACCGTTCCAATATCTGAAAAAATCGTACGTAATAATCACTTTCTTGCACTTTTAATTTAACAATTGCGATGTAATATGATTGTAATATTATTAATCATTCCTCTTTGATAAAAATTAGTTATCTAATGATAATATTATAGGTGAGATAGAGGTCTATCTACTCATCTAGATATCATCTATATATTGGAATTAAATTAACAAACTTAAATTGTAATTTGTATACTTACAAAGTTTTAAACGCTGAGGCTACAAGCTGCAGGAGGAGTCCGCTTACTCGTTGTTTGAAATTGAATGGTGGTATACTACTTGACAGACTATCTGGCACATAGGCTGGATTTGTACTTTCATCAATTAAACTAAGTATAATCCAATGAGGATCGATAGTGGAAAGCCAGATGAAAGGACAGTCAAATATTGTAGCTATCCTGAAACAATTAAGACAAAAAATCTATAAATATTTTGTAGCTCTTACAACAATATATAGTTCTAATAAGTAATAGTAGTAAGTCTGTTTTGAGTAGTGATGACGGTTTACGTAGAAAAAAAAAAGACTAATTACAAAAAGTCGCGATTTGGTTGCCGAACCGTCAACACTAGGCTTCCAACCTAGTGTTGACGGTTAGGCATCAGTATATAGGTGTATCGGTATATAGCTATATCTGAACTCTATTCAATGCTTGATGATGCCTCGTTCTGAGATGAATGCGTGTCGCAATAGGTGTAGATTGAATAACGGTCGGAATTTGATCACCATTAGAGAGGGTCGCAACGATAAATGGGATTTCCGTACTGAATGTTTGTGATCTCACACATGCTAATTTTAGCGGAATTAATCAAAACAATATAAATCCATTGAGTAGAAAAAGATTAAGACAGCAGGTAGACAGAATTTTCGGCTCGTAATAATTGTTTACATCCACCACCAGTCGATCCGTGACCAAGACGATTATAACAGCCTCGAAATATCGGCAGTTCTTAAATAAGACTATCATGGTACCTATATATCTCATTTATACAAAGCATGCAAAATATATTTTGACTCTTCTAATTAAATTAAATTACAACATCTGCCGTCGTAGTAGCAATATTCTTGATGATTCTTGTTACTTTAGTATAAAAAACAGAAAGTACAAAAACATACCCCGAGTAAGCATCATTGTACATCCATTCAGCTATCACTGCATCAAATTTCTGATTAGTGTCGCCGAGCAC